AATGATTGTTCTGATTTCTTATAGAAACATTCATACGATTACCGTCATTTCTTATAAAAACATTCATACGATTACCGTCATGATTAGGAAAAAAGAAATACAACTTTGATAATATTTTATTTTTATCTAATGTTTCACATTTTTCAAGAAAAATCTCATATAAAATTGGCGATCGTGGGACATAATTTATACATTACTCATTTATCATTTTTGTAATTATTTAAACGGCATTGTTCATTCTTTTGAATCTTAAAAATATAACGTTTACTCGCAACACATATGCGCATATATAGTTAATTAAATTCTTATAATACAATATAAGCACTTTTTATTATTTAACAATAAGTCGATAGGTGCCACAAATCAAAATCTATTAATAATTCTTAACCCAAGAAAGGTTAACAGATACAAAGATATTAAAACAAATCATTTAATATGAAATTTTGTACTTGAATTCAGTTTCAATCTTGACAGAGTATCGAATACAATAAATAGGAACTTATTCCAAATAAAAGGTTAATCTAAAATTAACTTTAATTCATATAAAATTTGTGTAAAATACACTTAACTTTTATACTCTAGCAATTACTAAATTAATCCGTAAATATTACTATATAAATTTTAGAAAACCTTCAAAGAATGATAAATGTAGAATAATTAATCATTCGTTCTTTGATGAAAATATTGGCAGTTATAATGCGGCACCAATATTACAATGTTTACTTATCGTAAAAAATATTAAAATATCAAGAAAATAGTCATTTTATGATCTCGTACATTCAATCGTTTCATTTTATATTTTTCCAAGATTAATTATCCAAGTGCATTTAAACAATTGACTACTTGCGTTTGTTTTGACTAATCTCTCTAAATATAGCCTATAATAAAAGTCAAAATTTGCTTATTACGAAAATTTGTTGAAATAACGAAGACACAGATTTTTGTTGATTTTATTGTTGTTTTTTTTCTCTTCTTCTTCTTCTTTTTTTGCCAATAACAAAACTGTCTTATATTAATACTTAAAATATAAATATGTCTTATTACTTTCATTAAATATAATTATAAATAGGGAAGTTGAATTATTAAATTTTCTGAATAAAAGCAATTGTAAATTTTTTACGAGATTAACTCGCATGGTTTTAAAAACTCGTAAAATCGCAAATATGTAAAACTTTAAAACAGCACGATCCATTGCACTTTAGATATAAGTAAATAAGCAAAAATAGAAAGTAAAATTACTTTTTAAAGTAGCAATAAAAACGTAATTAATAAGAAAAAAATTTACAAATAAAATTGTATAAGAATTAATATATAATTTAAATTGATCGCAGATCGACCAATGCATATTTATGTAGAATAAAAAATTTCCATTACTTATATATAAAATAAACAGCTTTTTGAAATCCTAAAATTCAAACATTTAAATATAAAATATTTCTTATATCACCGCATATTTTCTACGTGCTAAATGACTATTTATCGAATTTCGATATTAAAATAAAAGCTCAGATATGAAATAAATATGAAAAGGGGTTTACGTTTTATTGTAGAATAATAATTGATTATTTTATTTTGATAATCGATATTTAAAAACAGCCTTTCAATTACGTTATGCAATTGCTTATAAAGTTTGATTGTCAATGTGCGTATACGAAAATAAGATATATATATATATATATATCTTATAATCTTATATCTTATAATGCGTATATGTGCATGTAAAAAAGTGGGGAGGAGGGAGATAGTTTCACGAATGATAATTTGAAAGCTTTACCTCAATACTATACGAACCTTATAAATCCACTATAATTTACACGATAGTCACATATATGCAATTATTATGGTTTAGCGCACGAACGATTGCATGCTTATTCTGCCAGAAATGTCTGACGCTATCGATTATTTGAGTCACAAAGCTCCGAGGCAGTATGATTTATATGTCTACTTCTTAAGGACGATTTTATCCAAGCCACATGGTATTCCGATTTCTGACACTCTCCCTCGCAACATCTTTGTTTGCAAGATAACTGCAATCTATGCAGAAAAATATTGACGATACTAGTATACCAAATTCAGCTGGTCTTTCGTCCAACTCAATTGATATCTGTCATAACCACATTTTTCTAGTGCGCAAATTTAAAACTAAATTGTAAATATGCATATATTTTAGCTCAGGTACACACGCTGATAATTCTCTGCACATTTACATCTTTCATAATGATCGATAATTGCTGCACTTTCACAATATTATTTGTACATTAATAGGAATTTAAATTTGTATCAAATGTAAATAGTGTGAAGTGCATGTATGTTGCGATTTTCACTCTTTTCTAATTGCATTATTTTAAAAAATAATTAATTAATTCATACATGTAAAACAAGAAAAACTTTAAATAGAATGCAGGAAATAAATTGTTTGAGAATTTTATGTATTATAAATGATATATTATCAATATTAATGTGGCAGGCGTGGATTTAATTTAAACATAAAAACAGTGTGCACTATGCAATAATAACGGCTGTAAAATAATAAATTAATTAATTATGATTTAAGCGCTTTTATTTTCATTGAATTTGAGTGTTTTTATATGTACATTATATATGATTTTTATTTGGCCCGTTCGCCACTGTATGATATGAAAGTAATATGTTTTTAAATAAATTTCATATAATTATAGGACGATATGTGTAATACGATAGGAAAGCATGAAAAATACTAAGACGTATATTTATATCATGTGGACATCCACAAAAGCTACTAATAATTTTTCTCTAATATTACATAAGCCAAATCTTTTTTAACTTACATTACACCAATTACTTAAGAAATTATAATTTCTTTCATTTATATTGATAGGATAAATTGAATTATTATATGGTATGTTATTTTTGTCTTTTAACGAGTTCGCAACAATTCTGTTGGCCTGGACTTGATTACAAACAAAAATAAATTTTTTTACCAATAAATCATCGCTGATTCACTACGTGAAATTAATTTTTTCAATCGTATATTTAAGCAAATAATTATTTAAAAACATGTGCTCAATATCAAACAATAAATCTAGTATTATTTGTTTTACTAATACACAATATCCGTTAACAAAATACGCATCTTTTATTACGATAATGTTTTGCATTTTTTTTTTTTTTTTTTTTTCAACATTCAATTATTAATTCTTGTCTTTCTTTATAGTAAGTGCACTGCATTAAATTGTTAATACAGCTACAACATTTACAATACATTAATTTGCACTTCTAATTACAATGTTGGATTTTACTATGGCAGCGAGATTGTCAATAAATGAGAATGGAATTGTAAACATGCTTAACGCTATGTGAACGAAGATGATCTGATTAGTGCTTTCATAACGAAGGTTATTGAAAAACAAGGCGTTCGCGTATGCCTGTAAAGTTCAAGTCTCGATGAAACCAAACATCGTATGAGCGCGCGATTCAATCATAATGAATCATCACGTGTAGTAACATGAAAAATAGTACGCGCGCGCCAAACTCGAAAGTTCAATGAGCTATACAAGGAACAATTTTTAAGAAAGAAAAGAAAAATGAAGGAGAAAAAGAGGGAATGAAAGAATTTTCCTTCCGACAAAAATATCAAAAGTATTATTATCCAATTGATGTCTTAAAACAGAAAGAAGAAAAAGGAAAATGAGATAGAAGAAAAGTGAAAAACAATTTCATTATCCGAAATCTCGTTGCAAGCTGCTTATGATACGATGCGCAATATAAATCAACTCGTACTTGGGCACGTTATCCAAACACTAAAACTTTGTAAATGTTTTTAAACTGATGTTGAACATCCGGAGCATCGAAGGCTCACCAAGGCCAAGTGAAACTTTGTCCGTCGCAGACAAAATCTATTTGTCGAATAAACTTGAATGAATCTTATGTGGAGCCAGTTATTCTGTGCTGCTCCTCGGACATATCGCAACAACATGTTTGATATATCATTTTCCGTACTACCGAACAAGTAACCTAACCTCCTTCAAAGGAACAAAGAATGTTCATCGGCGTAGCGTCCTGGATGATGAAGGGATCGTCGCGGCTTGGGCGTCCTCGGCAGCGGGATGAGGCCCCGTGGTCCGATCCCCGTTGACTGCTGAAGCGGCGCCGAGACATGGCGCGGAGTGGGGAAAAGTCCGCGCCGCTCTCGCGTTCAGCAGCGAGTGAGAGAGCGTGAGAGGGAGAATCGGCGCTCGCTGTCTCCGTATAAATACAAGCTGCCGCGGGCGCTCGCACTTAGTGCCGCTCGTATTATTTGCTCGCGCGACGAAAGCGAGTCGTTGGCCTCGGCGCCGATTCCCTTCGTAAACCTAGAAGCGCGAGTGCGTGCGCGCGTGGCCCTTGGCCTTGGAATTGAGTGCCGAAGGAATCACCCACTTTTGGATAAGGGATCGAGTGAGCGGCGGCCGATTGCTTCGTCACCAGAAGCGAAAGACCCGCGGCTAGGAAAGCGAATGCGGGGTAAAGCGGCGGGCGGCTCGCTCGCGGGCTCGAAGCAGCCTCGTAGCCGTCGTCGCCGTCGTCGTCGTCGTCGTCGTCGTCGTCGTAGAGTAGTCGCCCAGCCGCTCTTTCGTAATGTAAAGTCGTGTCGCGGACCGTCCTTCACGGAAATCACAGAGGCCGTCGCCGCCGATTGATAAACGCTCATTCGTGGCGAGCATCGGTGCCCGGGAGTTGACGACGTCCGCCACCTCCTACCCCCCTCCCCTCATCTAATCATTACCTCCCACCCTACTGCAGCCGCTGCCCCCGACGGTCCCGTCGGAAAAGCGGTAGGAGGAAAGATCGAGAGTCGGTGGAAAGGGGACCGAGTGGAAAGGCGACCGCGGGACTGCTTTCACCGTGTCGTGTGTGATACCGAGAGTCAACCAGCCGCCGCTCGCGAGGAGCCCGAACGTGCGAAATGCGTGGAGACTGAGTGGTAGCCGCGTTTTAACCATCTTGAAACCTCTCTCTATCTGCTTCTCTCTCTCTCTCTCTCTCTCTCTCTCTCTCTCTCTCTCTCTCTCTCTCTGGCTCGCTCCTCGGTGTGTTTCAACATTAAGCAAATTGAGCGAGGACGAGATTTGTTTATGAGATACATTTGGTAAATTGGCCAGTGAATAAATCGTGCTCAGTGATTGAACGAAATGAAAAGCCGTCCTGCAAGTCGTTAAACAGTGGGTGCTTTTTTTTTTTTTCTTTTGATTAATATATTTAATATTGTAGATATAAGTTTTAGCTCGCATGCTCGATCGAACGGCAGTTAGTTGCACTTGGGACTTTTCTCTTTCGAAGGGAACTTAATTTTGTATCTTTCGTACATGCATACGTGACCCGTCGTTTTAACCATCTTGAAACCTCTCTCTATCTGCTTCTCTCTCTCTCTCTCTCTCTCTCTCTCTCTCTCTCCCACGATTATGTACAAAAATTATAGATGACATTGTCAGACGTAAATTAATACGTTTGACGAGTTCTTCGAGCTTAGAAATAAGAATTTTTTTTTTTTCTTCGTCATCCATAATTTGTTATCTACTCGAGACTACTCATTAAACCATTATAACATATTTTGTAGTGCAAATTGATATCAAGAAATACGCGAATAAAAGCCAGCTCTACTCGCATACACAAGAGAAATTCACATCGAGCAGCGAGTATTAATAAACTTGAACATTTTACTTCGTTCATTCACTGGATTACGAAACTTTTTCTCAAATATGTTAGCCTCGTTGTCTTCTGAACTGTAAAAAATCGCACGTGCTAAAAAATATTCTTCATAAATGGTTTTGGAAAAATTGGTCTCGTTCTGCAATAAATATTCTAGACATGTGTTATTATTAAATACTTGGCAATGATTTCATTGTTGGCTTGAAACTTTTATAACATAAAATGGAAATTAAACAAAGATTTTAATTATAGATTTTGTATTAAAGAACGGGTTGACTCAATTAACTCATAAATTTCAAGAAAAACAGCTTTGACAAGTACATTGTATAGTTAGTATTTTATACTTTAGCACTGCTATTTTTTCAGTTAACAGATATTTATAATAAGTGAAATGGCGGAAGATTGTAATGGCGTGAAATTTTTATTTTATCGTATTTACGGAAACTATTCTTAAACGAATTTTTAAATATTAAAAATAAACGTTAAATTACATATTGCAATAATCGATTAGCTTAACGATTCTTCTCCACGATCGATTTTAATATCGGTAATTGTCGACAATAAACTGTTTCCCGTCAAAGTATATTTGAAGTACATATCGATGAGATGAAAAACCTGGCCTACGACATAGATAAAAAGTCAAATTATTAACTGGCCATTTTAAATTGTATCTCCCAGTGAAAAGTCACGATAGCATGGAAAGCAAGATGTACATTAGTGAGGCACAAAGTAACGGCTGCGGCCAACAACAGCAACAACAACAACAACAACAACAACAACAACAGCAGCAACAGCAGCAGCGACAGCAACAACAGCATCAACATCATCATCATCATTCATCGCCGAAATTCGCCTCGACGAACTCGATACCCTCGCTGGTCGAAAGCTGCCCGTCGCTTTTCGATCTGCCAGACTCTAAGCAACAGTCCTCGAATAATCCGGTGATCCTACGTGATCAGAAAGCCCGTCGCCATAGTGTTCTCGATGACCTGAAAGCCCGACGCGACAGCTTCTTCCAAAAGGCTCGACGCTCGAGCTTCTTCGAGGACAAGGAGAACAAAGATAAGCGACGTGGTAGCGATGGAACACCCAGGCGCGGATCCGTGTTTTACGTCTCTCAGGACCTGTTGAGCGAGGAGGCCATTGGTAAAAATGCCGAGAACGGCAAGGACGACGAGCGAAAGAACGAGAGCGAGTCGCGGGAGAACGAGTCTGCGACGGTGGCGCCGCCGCCGCTGACGCCGCCGCCACCGCTACTGCCGTCGCCCGAGTTTGTCAAGAAGGGCAGGAGAAAGTCCTGGCATCCGCTGGTCGGCAAGCCGCCCAAGGTCGACAGGAAGAGGAGAAAGGGCACGGCGACCGGTGCACCGACCAGCGAAGTAGGCAGCACCGAGGGACTTTACAACGCGCGCCAGAAGAGACCCTCATGGTGGAACATCTTCGTGCCAGATTCGGTTAACAGGTAACAATAAGAGACAGAAATAAGAATTCTATCGATATATGTTTTATGCATTTTAGAGGCACGGGATTGTAAAGCAACGTTACAAATTTATACTCCTCCCAGAAAATTCTCCCACATTCTCCTTTCTTTGCCCGCAGTCGTTCATTCGTCGTATTTACTTCCCCGTGTCTTTCGGTTTTTCTTTTTTTTGCGATTCGCCTATCGAATAATCAGAGATTTAGGCCGCACAATCATCCTCCACTCCGTTCTCCTACCTTTCGAATCTACCGCTTCGATCTTTCGACTTTTATACGACTTGTGCTAATCTGTTTTCTGTTTTATAACATATCTACACGTGATGGAAGATTGAACTTAATCTTATCAATGCTTAATATTTTATATTTGGTTTCTCCAAAATACGAAAAAACAAAAAATTAAAAAGACAAAAAAAAACAAAATTATTTAATTATTCGCCTTGTTGTTTAAACTTACGACTCGACTGTGTGTCGATTATAGAAGAAATTATTAACAGCAAAACAATATATATATATATATATATATATATATATGAATTTACCATTTACCATTGTCCGCGTTCCTAGCATACAACATGCCCTACGATAATAAGTAAAGAAAGACGTAAATATAAGTGTCATCGACTGACTAATTTTATTCAAAGAAGAAAAAAAATCATTATCTGCATTTGATAATTTATTGGCCTCCATTTTACGCTATAAAAATCGATTTTAGAAATTTTCATCTATATATACGAGTACCGATACTTATCGGTAAAGATATTTAATACTTGCTCGCTAATCTATATCAATAAATCTGTGAACAAGGACATATTGCATTATACGGTTCGACTAATCAAAATAATTTAATGTTAATAAGGCCGTCAATACGTTGCAGAATGTCTAAATCTTATCGGCGTTCGTGCGCTCGGTGTAATCGTGTTAGCTCCGCTTCCATTTTTCATAAAAGTACAGCGAGCCGGTACCACGCACTTTGTACATGAACTGAAGAGCGTAACTTTAACACGCAACCGGCCGTCGTTATTTTTCTCGTGCGTAATAAAATCAGTAGAAAAAAAAATGGAGCTACGACCAAACCGAACGGCGTGCATGTGTGCGTGGCACGAAAGGGGCTTGTGGGTGAGGAAAGTGTAGTCAGCCAAAGGATCCCTCGCTTGAGTAAATGTGCGGCGCTGGATGTAAAGGAAGGCTCGCGCGTTTTATTTGTGAGGCACAATTCTTATGCACACAACGCAAAACGGACAGGAAAGTTGTCGCGTCGTCTACACGTGCGCGCGCGATTCCTGATTGACTTTCGCATTCGCTCTGGGGTACAGTTATCGTGGTGGTTCTCAACCGAGTTGCTCGCACGAATCCTGAGGAGCCGCGTGACTTGGTGCGCCGCGGCGATGCTACCGTCTCGTGCTTATCCGCGAACTTATCACTTCGTTATCTCCAATTATTGGCCCGTTATTTTCCTTTTGCCTATTACCGTTCGCGACACGAGGCCACGTTGCACTTTCAGATTCATTTTGAAAGCCCAAGTGTCGTTGAAAATGTGAATTCGGAGAATTCATATATTTGTTGCACCATCGGGTTTCCGTGCCAGAGGGCAATTCCTCGTGCCATCGGAAATCGCCGAATTTTTCAGGCTAATTGCAAATTAACATGTGCTAACACTGTTTTTAAATGACGGCAAATTCTCTCCCACGTCCAATGAATTTTACTCATTTTAATTAACTATAGGCATGCCTTCGAGGCTTCTATATAGTCATGCATATGGATACTAAATTAGGGGCTATTTGTGAACATGTAACGTTCAATGCTTACTCGACAGATTTTAATTTAAGCAGATTTTCGTAATTTAAAATTAAGAAATTGCATTAAAAAAAAAAAAAAAAAAAAAAAAGAAGAAACAAAAGACAATCTTTTCCGCTCAAATAAAAGTAATCTCGCTCTCTTGAACATAAAGCATAACATAAAGGCTTAAGTTATTTTTAAAATTATGATCATATATTATTAAATATATGTAAATTATTGTACGCCGAAGTTATTTTTAAAAATTGCGATCATATATTATTAAATATATGTAAATTATTATTGTAAATGTAATGAGTAGCATTGGATAAATATGCGACTATATAAATAATGTTTTCTTTTGTCTTTCATTGATTTTGACAAAAAAATATTAAACTTATGATTGCGTAACGATGACTTTATTACTTAAATACTTTAATCGTGATGCTAAAATAACAACAACAAAAAAAGAAAAGAAAGAATTTGTTTCATTTTTGATCAATATTAAATAATCATTTATTATAAATTATAGTAGAATACTATTTTAAAGGGTATGTAACAAATGAATTTCACTTCTTATGATAGACAAATATTTATTGTAAGCTCTTCGGTCACGTCGATCAGACATGAAAGATTCGATTTCCTAAATATTTCATATATATATGTATATGAAATAATCGATATTGGAATATATAATATATATATATATATATATGTATATGTATAACAAAATTACTACATATTTGTAAAACTCAAAATGAATAATAAATTTCAAGTTTGTACGAGGGATAAATTGAGTTACAACTTTACTTAATATTTTTAATGCGTACACTACATTTACATCTGATTGTTGAACATTTTTATTTCAGTTTCAAGAAATGTTACTATTATTATACACCAAATTACAATGCAAATAAGTTTTTCTTCATTAACTACGCATCAGTGTTATTCCTATGCATTTTTATCTCTTCTATACACAAGCATGAAAAATCAATAGCCTGTGTGCGTGCGTGTATGTGAAATCAACTAAGAACATATCGATGTGAAATAAAATTTAATTTATAATTTATTGAATGTAGATAAAAGTAGAGTCCTTCCGATATCTAGTAAAAAATAAAATAACATTAAACATAACAATTTTAAAAATATACTAAACCGCTTAACACTTCGATTTCTTTTCGTAAATCTGAAAAAATGATGTATTAGCGTATAATAAGGAAGAAATTTTTCCTTTAATGTATGTAATAAATGAAAAATTATACGAATTAAAAGAGCTAAATCATGATCAATAATTCTCCAACATAAGACACGATGACAATTATAAAAGTTATCGCATTAAGGTACTTATCAAAACATATTCCAAAGATAATATTTTACCGCTAATCAATCAATTTAATATTTATAGCGAAAATAATTATTTCTTGATAGAAAATAATGTTTTATTAGCTAAATATAAAGTCAATATTTTATTCATTATAAAAAAAAAAAAAAAAAAAAAAAAAAAAAAAAATTAAACACAGGCCCCGAATAAAAAGAGCATTTAACCTCATGACTAGAATATAATTAATCACTTTATTTTCAATCCACTCAACCGCTAATTTGTAATAAGAGATAATACATCAATAACAATATTAAAATATTCTAAAGCTATAATTAAATATCTCTATGTAGCGATAATCCAAGTATTTAATAAATAAATAAATTTTAAATAATTTTACAGATTGTTAAGCTCGTCGCTGAATGATTCTAATATTAACTAATCTAGATTTCACATGACGAAACTTCGATTCTCTTTGTCTAAGCGTATTTGCAATAGGCATTCAATAGCTTCTACGCCTCCAAATGCCTACGTTATAGAAATTATACTTGCAAAATTCATTTTATCTTATTTTTATTTCTATGCCACAATACTATTTGTTTTCAATTATAATAACTTGCGCTGAAATCTCGTCATAAATGTAGATAAGATAAAACCCTATGCGCTACCACTATGGGTTCTTTTTACCTCGACTTCAGTACTCCAAGTAGAATCAAAAAGATTTATACGCATCCTTATCAAGATCTTGGTCTCGGTATTATATAATTAAGGCTTCTTTGTAGAATCACAACAAAACATAATCACATGCACTCTTAGGCGGAAATTTTAGATTAGCCATTATTTTAATATCTCTACACTTCTTCAGCCTTCTAAGCCTATTGCCGTTCTTTTTAGTCCCCTTTGCACGAGTACGTTTTATTTATTTAGTAATTTTTTGTACGATAGGAATTAAAAATACTTGGTATCTGACAAGAGTCTTTGTTAATTTGAAAAAATAAAAAAATAAAAAAATAAATAAATCAAGAATTACGTACAATTAAATTATTTTCATTTATTATTCAAATCAAAGACAAGTATCATTTATATACACAAAGTGTCCGATTTATTAATAATAGATAAATCCGTAATACAATGTATGAAATATTGAAAATGCAACTATACATTATCGAATGAATAAATGTCAAAATTGAAAATATTTTAAGTGATTTTGTTTTTTGTTTTTTCTTTTGCTTTTCGTAAACTGCAAATTAATATTGAAAGAATGACTTCTTCCACATTCATAGGAAAAATAAATAAAATAGTATTTTTATCATTGCCCAGACAATAAAAATTAAAGATAATTAATTGTGAATTGCACAATTTAATCACGATTCATCACAATTTTAGAACATTATAAGAAAATATTATTGTACGTAATGCCCGTATCAAGCTCTAGAGTTACTAAAAAAAAGTGCTGTTGATATTTGATAAGGTGATAGAATACTTGGTTGTTAGATATTTATTTACCTCGTCAAGACAGTTCAGCTATAAACTGTTTGAAATTTGACCTCGAAATATTTATTATATTGCATTAAAAGTGCAATCCCTATAACAAACTTTTTGCTAATGAAATCGATAGTACGAAACAACGTGAATGCTGTGTGAATTTAGTTCACTATGAGAGTTGATAAATAGCAAACGAGTAAAACATCTTTCTAATCATGCTTTAGTCGAATGAGGATTATCAGACGTGCATGTAGTTTTTATGATATAAGTGCATCACTTTATCATGATTATTGCTAATATATAAATAATTAATAATTAATGTAGTTTAAAGAGGGGGTGATAATAATAGAATTTTATATGCTTAATTAATTTTTATTTAACAACTACCTTTGCGAAATATTTCATTA